TACCAGCCTCAAGGTTCCTGGGTGCAAGGTTGGTTACTCCCTTCCTTACCAGCCTTGAAGGTCCCAGGCACCCAGCCAGCTCAGTGGTGAGCACAGAGTCCTGTCCCCAGCCCCAGCACAGCCCACAGCATCTCACATCACACCAGACTCTGAGGAAGTATATTTTTTTTAAAATACTTTATTTATTTTTTCTCTCAATACCGACATTAAAAAAAAAAAAAAAAAGAAAAAGAAAAAAAAATTTACAAAAAAACCCCACTATAAAACATTCAGGTCTCATTGAAACCGAGAAAAACAAAACAGCTTGCATCTGCATGCTGGCCTGTCTTCTCGCTCGCGGTGTCCATCAGGTTTTCTCTATGTCGAACTCCACAGGGACCAGCGGAGAGAACCGGCAGTATCCCCTCGCCGGCCAAACCGGGCGATTAATTAAGCAGCGCCTAATGGCTCTCCTCACCCTGTATCATACACTGTACAGCTGTACACCCAACCCCGACGGACACCCCGCGCTCGCCCACCATCCCAAAAGACTCCCTGTTTCAAGTCAGTAATTTCTCTTTAAAAAAATAGGATTCCCAGGGCGGGGCGAATATTTTGGCAGGGGTTTTCTCGGTGGTGCTGGGGTGAAAGAGGAGCTGTACAAAGCCAGGTCAAAAGTGCTTCCTGCTCCTTAGGAGCCCTTTCCTGGGAAAAAAAAACCAAAACACAAAAAAAAAAAAAAAAAAAAAAACCAAACAAACCCAAAAAACTGGCACGAGGCAGAGTGGGCCAAGAAAGTTAAGAAATATAAAAATTCTCCTGATGGAAATCCAAAGGTTTTAAAAAAATACAGCATTTGAAAACGAAGCCACCAAGCAGACTGCCTCATGCGCCTCCCAGATCCACCCTGACGCTCAGAAACACCTCCTGAATAAATCATCCCTGTAGAAAAATATATACACGTGCCTTCCTCTTCTCATTAAAAACCCTAAGGTTGAACTCAAATGCTATCGAAACCCACAGCTCTGCTCACGCTTGGCTCTGCTTTTGCACCCAGACTTGTGCTACACACACCCCTCGCGATGGGCTCGATCTTTCTGTATGTGCCCAAACCACCTCCCTCCCCAAAAAAATGTCAAGGTGCACCACGCCAGGAACCCCAAAACGGGCAGAGAAAAACCCTTATGGAGAAAAAACCCTAACGAGCTCTATATATATGTATTTAGAAAAAAAAAAAAAAAAAAAAAAAAACAAAACAAAAAAAAAAAAACAAACAAAAAAAAAAAGAAAGCTCCTCCCGGTGCTGTCCCCCCCCCTCCTGCTGCCTGGGGCTCTGCAGGCAGCAGGCGCAGGCAGGGGCTGCCTGCGGGCAGGGGTAGGGGGCTGGATGGGACATCCCCATGTGCTCCATTGTTTGGCACAGCCAAGACTCGGTTGTAGGCTTGGCACAGGAGAGTGGATCACGGTTGGATTCAGTACCGTGGTCCCAGCTGAGAAACAGTCCGGCTACAGGATGGGGGGGTGGGGGCCACCGTGGGCAGGAATGATCGGCACCACGGTGCAGCCGGAACCCCGAACAGCAGCAAGTACGAAAGAAGGGAAGAGAAAAACTAACAGCGGGGAATGCCAGATCCTGTGGAGTCCTATTTACACTGCGCCGGACCCCAACAAGTCCAGCCTCTCGTGGGAAAAGTGGCCTGAAAAGCAGGTGACATAAAAAAAACCCACGACGTGATGCACCTCCCCGGGGCAAAGGGCCCACGCCGCTCGCGTGTGTGAGGTGGAAAAGCTGGACCTCTGAGGAAAAAATAAAAAGTCTATCAGCTGGGAGAGCTGTGATGGGCAGGAGCCTCCCCGCTGTTGGTGCAGAACACAGGTCAAGAGGGATGGATGGGGAGAGGGATGGCTGGGGAGAATAGCTGGGGAGAAGGATGGATGGGGAAAGGGATGAATGAGGAGAGGGGTGGATGGGGAGAGGGATGGATGGGGAGAGGAGTGGAAGGGGAGAGGGATGGATGGGGAGAGGGGTGGATGGGGTGGGTTTTTGGAGGAAGGAAAGCAGTGTGAGGGTTTTTTTTTTTTGCATTTGAAAGTGCTGTGGCACCTCTGCTCCATGTGGGCCAGGTGCTGTGGCACATGCTTTTGGAGTATTGCTGCTTGGAGGAGAATCCCCGGGCTCTAGGAGCAGGGGAGGTGCTGCTTGAGGATCTGTCTCGTCTGGGGAGCTATTCTGTCTGGGAAGCGGATTTTGAACTCCACGATCAAGTCTCCTCGCTGGCTGGGGGCCTTGGGGAAGGGCAGCCCCTCCCCACGCAGTCTCTTCACTGTCCCTGGCTTGATGATGTCGTTGCAGGGCAGTGGGATCACCCGCCCATCGATGGTGGGAATGTTCACGGTGCAGCCGCACAAGGCCTGTGGGAAGAAGAGGGGACATGCCATCAGATGGGGCTGACACCCCAAAGCATCCCTGTCCCCCCACTGGCTGCTCCCCGGGTTAAACCAACTGGCCCTGCTCGAGGGATGCCCAAGAGCATCCGTTGATGCTCACCAGCACAAAGGCAGGTCTCTACTGGTGCCAGCCCAGTCTAACCACCATCAGCTGGGCTGCAGGAGCTGTGCAGGAGAAAGGTGACCCAGGTGAGGGATAAGCCAGGAGAGGATGCCCCATCCTCATGGGGGGAAGGAGAACCTTCCCCACCTTCCGGGCTCCCCAGGAGCCACCACCAGCAAATGCCCGGCCACTGGCAGCAACAGGACAGGCTAAATTTAGCCCCTTCCCCAGCCTTGCTGCTCAGCCTCGGGGAGCCGAAAATCCAGCTGAGATCATCGGATGCCTCCACGGTTCATCAGCTGCCGCCCTCCGGAGCCCAGCAGCTCTGCCTGGCGCTGGGGGTTATCTATAGCACAGCCCCTGTCCCGTCCCCACCACCAACAGCCCCTAAAAGTTACACCGGTGTGGGATGGTGGTGTGGCCACCACACAGCACTGAGCTTTCCTGGAAGCCAGAGTCCTGGAGGGGCTGGTCCCCATTACAGGTCTCGAGCCATTTCATGGGTGTCACCCCATCGTACCCCAGAGCCCATCAGCAGCCGGGGTGGTGGGTGCCGTGGCACCGCAAGCCGGCCTGCGTTAATGAGCCATGTGACGCGGGAATGCAGCAAGAAAATCCTTGTGTCCTTAAATAACTCAGACAGCTTTGGCGTACACGTGGGCAGCATCGTCTCCAGGCTTTCAGCAAGGGCTGAGGGAGAAGATTGCAGAGCGATGCTTCTGGAAGAGAGGGGGGGTTTGCCGGGGGTACAGCCTCAAGCTTCGTGGCGGGGGCTAGCACAGGCTTGCCTCTCTGAGCTGGGTCTTGGGGGCCCCAGCCCCCCGTCCCCCCCAAACACCCTGTAAATGGAGGGCAGTAGGATGCGATTTGCTGTTTCTGGGGTTGATGGGGGGATGTTCTGCACCTTCCTGCCCAGGAAAAGCCTCTGGTGGCAAAGTAGCAACAGGCACCAGGAGAAACATCTCTTCTTCTCGTGCTGGTTGTTGGGTCCAGAAGCTGATGGCTGCAGCTTCTGTGGCTGGACCAGGGCTTTGCATCATGGTGATCATGGTGGGACTCGTGCTGGAACCAGCTGGTGGGTTCCAGAGAGCAGAGAATAGGAGAGCTGGGGCCATCTCCTTGCACAGCTCATCTGCAGAGGGTCTCCTCCAGGGATGAGACATTCAAAACCCGCCTGGACGCCTTTCTATGTGATCTCATTTAGGCTCCTGCTTTGGCAGGGGGGTTGGACTAGATGGTCTTTCAAGGTCCCTTCCAACCCCTAACATTCTGTGATGAGCCTTTCTGGCTGCAGGAGGATACCCATCACCAGCTCCATGTAAGCAGTGGGTGCTTGGCTGGAGCTCCAGCAGGTTGGGGGGAAGTGAAGAATGATCTCCCCCCACCAATGCATTTCTGCCCTGTGCTTTCCCAAGGATGCCAAAGCCCTCCTGCTCACTGGTGCCCACCACCATGCGTGGTGGAGGGTTGTATGGGTCCATGTGCCTGGGGAAAGGACATCTGCAGCCACAGAATGGGAAGGAGAACAGGAATTCCTTATAGGAGCATGTGGACAGGGCAGGCAGAGGGAGGTGAGCGGGAGCGGGTGGTGACAGGGAAGGCAGACGGGATCTTAATGTTTCCTTCCTAGAGCCAAGATGCAAGAATCCGAGGCAATCGCTCCCCCGCCGTATGTCCTTGTTTTTTTCATCCTTCTTGCCCAACTTTGCTGGCATTTGGGAAAACGGTTGCTGAAGTAACACCAGTAACCACGGGAGCTGCCCCGCATCCTAGAAAGAGGTTTATCCCTGGGGATGAAATCACTGTGGGTTTGATAGCTGAGCGCTGTGCTGCGAGAGCAGAGCTTTAACTAGGTCAGCATTGGGTCCTCCTCCGCTCGCAGCGAAGCCGCG